TCTCTTCTCCCCCCCCCCCCCCCCCCCGCCAAAACCAAAAATGGCAGTAAATTAACAAAAGCTCCTGGCCACATGCTAGAAGCAGAAGTCAATCCAGACTTGGGTGTAAGGCATCTTGGGTTGATTTCAGGGCGAACCCTTGCTGCTGAAAAAATCCAGTATCAATCTGGAAGTAGCTGAGTTCCTGAAGGTCGATTTAGTGGCCTGTGGGTGGGTTGGAGGCTACACTAGGGACAGGGACAGGTTGGGAGGTGGCACAGAGGCAAGGGATTGTGGGGATTTGTTGGGTAGCTGGGAGACCAGCACATTTGACGTCCAGCTTTTTGGGCCACCCTGGGGGCCTGTGGGAGTCACTTCTCCATTGACCCTGCCCATCTCTCAGATGGGCCTTGCAGCTTGAAGTCAGGAGAGTCTCAGCTTTGGGAGTGCTGGGCAGCCCGCCTTGGTCCTGCCTTTGGTCCAGCGGAGGTTGCCTGTCCTGACTGTCTAGCCTTTTCTTGGCAAAGTTACAGCAAAACTCCCTGCCTGGGAGCGGAGTGGATTCAAACCCAGTTCCTATAGTCTTTTGGCTTGCGTGGACAAAACACTCAGCAGTTCTGGGCAGAGCGGGCCATGTGGGTGACCAGTTCCTGCTAGGGTGTCTGCACGCCCCTCTCTCCAGATGCCTCACCAGCCCTCATCCTTCCCAGGAAGAGCAAGTGTCAGGCTGGGCTGCACATTGCAGGGACCCCTCCCTCTCCAGTGGGTGGCTGTTCTGGCCCGACTTCATCAGCACCGAGATGGGAAATCAGGAACATTTGTTCTTGCTCAGCTGGGATGCAGCGAGGGAAGGGGGGCTTGGAAACCAGCACTTTGGTCCCACAGAGCAGATGACGCTAGCCAAGCAGGCATTTCTGCAACCTGATGCCACTGAGCTAATGTGCCAGCTTGGGCTCCTCCTGCCGCCTGGGCTGGCACCTTGGACCCGCATCAGTGCTCCATCTGATGGAGTAGGGGCCCCTAACGAGACTCTTGGAACAGAGGCACAGTGAGACAAGGCGCCCCTGGGTTTGCAGCTGGCGAAATGGGCTTTCATCTGGGCCTTATTATCTTCTGATCTGGCCTGTGCTCCTGCTCTGCACCCAAGATCACTGTGCTAATTAGCGCATTAAGCAGCTTGGGGATGAGCAGAAACATGTTTACCAGCCCTGGGCATGGATGTGCATAAGGATAGGCAGCAAGACACGTGGAAAGGTCCTAGAACGAGGAATTTTGAGACCTGGGTTCTGGCGCTGGACCTCTTGCAGATACAGCTGGAGACCTTGGCTGAGTCCCCATCCCTCTCTGAGCCTCAGTCTACTGATTTCTTTAGAAGAATCACTGCACAGTGGCTAGAATTCCTCAGTTTGACTGTTGGCTGTCATACTCATCAGTTGTGTGACCTTAGACCACTGAACCTCAGTGCCTCAATTTCCCACCTGTAAAATGGAATGAAAATGAGCTAGAACTTGTAGAACAAAGGGCGCAGCACTGGACTTCAGTTCTTGCTGATGTCCTGGGGCAAACTGTTGTGTGTGGGTGTCTGAAGATCTGCCTTGGGGGTGGAAGCCCAAGGTGAATAGGCTGCCTTCTGGGTCCTTTTCCTTTCCCTGCCTCCCCTGAGGGTCCCTCCCTGAGCCTTGTGACTGGTCTTCTGCAGCCCCATCCCGGTGGCAGGAAGCCCAGGCTGACGTCACCGAAAATATCCTGGTTTCTGGCACTTGAGGGATGATATTTCATCAGCCAGTATTTGAGCATCCTTCCCCTCCACGCTTTGTTTCCACCCTTAGCTAGAGTCCGAGGACCATATGTGCAGATAATAAGTTTAAGCTGATTGACAACTCCCAGACCCACCCAAACTGGGCTGGCTTCCTCGAAGACACTTTCAACTTTCAAATAAACGATCGGGTGCAGGTTCCATTGCTTCACCTCTGGCTGGCCCTGCTTCCCTTGGTCTCAGACTTTGGGCTTTGTCAGCGATCCGGGCTGCAGGAGCCTCCTCCTGCTGTTTCGGAAGGGACCTGCCAGGCTCCTCTCCTTCCAAAAAAGCTGTCACCCTGAGCAATCCCTGATTCCCCGCATGGGGACAGACAGGTTGGCATGTGGGATATCCTCAGTTCCACACACAAGGGTGAAGTAGCTGCTGCTCCATTTTGTAGATTATAGTGGAGCTCAGAAAAATTGAGTCAACAGGGACTGCTTGCTGTCCTGCTTGCTGTCCTGCTTGCCGAACCACTACCTGATTCTTCCTCTTCTCTCCTAGCCCCTGGGAGCTCCAGATCCTCAGGAAAGATCCTGAGATGTGGCCAGGCCCCCTTCCGCACACTTGTGATCATTCACGCGACTCAGGGTACCCATGACACCTCTTTGCACCCTGCGTGGGGACAGGGAGGGGAAAAGGCTTTAAGGGGGTGCGTTGCTACCCTGAATCTGGATTTGAATCTTGTTTCTGCCACCTGTTGCTGTGTGGCCTTGGGTTCCTTGCCTGTGGAAATCCAAGTCGTAGCGTTAGTGACACTGTTGAGCTGAGTAACATCAGCGGTCGCAGCAGGTGGCCCCAGGACCTCAGCGGCTGGACAGCAGGTTGGCGTCCTGCTCACAGTGCTTGTCTAGCTTGGCTCCTGCACCACTCAGACCCAGGCTGATGATGATTTCTCCCTCTTTGTGGCTGCCCCTTCCGGGCCTGTGATGTTAAATTTACTGCAGGTGGGGACAAGGGAGAGGGAAAGCCAGCCCAGAAGGTGACAAGTGTTCCTTCAGTGGGAGAGCATTGGTCAGAACTGTTCCATGGTCCTCAACAGGCCACAAGGGAGACCGAGCATAGAAGGATGGATGTGAAGGTTTGAAAAGCACCACTCCTTGCTTGGCAATGGGACGAGGCATTCCAGGCTTCCGGTACAGACCTGCAGTGTCTTGCCCTTAAAGCTCGGAGGCTTCCTTTCTAATAATTCCTGATGTGTGTGTCCATTATAGATTATAGACCACAGGTGTGGAAGTGGTTTCGAGGCAGATCGTGTTGAGCTTGTAATAGTGCAGGTAGGTGGGGCCTCAGGGCTGGCAGGTGAGGTCACAGAAGGGCCCAGAGTCAGGCCCGGCACCTTCAGCCCAAGCCGCCATGGTCGCCACTGGCGTAGGAAGACGTCTGGTTCTGAGGACCCCAGAATGTCTTCTAAACCTTCTGGAAGCTACTGCTGCTCCTGGCTCCTCCTCCATCTAACGGTGGGAGAATCTGTGCCTGTGGGGTGCTGAGGAATGGGGAGGGGAGGCTGCAGGAACTCTGGAAGGTGAGGGAGAAGGGCAGGGCGGACAGGAGAGAAGCAACGGCTCCAGATGTCCTGGTAAGAGCCATAGGACGTGGGCCCCACATACTTCTGGGGGATTGCTGTACGTGAGTCCTGGGGTGCCCCTCAGAGCACACATGGGGTTCCCTATGGTTCTGTCCCATCTGTGCAGCCTTGCTAGACCCATGTGGCCTGTGAGCTTGGGCAGGGAAGGAGAGGGGGCTCCATGAAGGCTTTCTAGCCCTTTCCTTTTGGGGGCAGGAAGATGGCTGGACCCCGGTGGGAAGCCTGACTCTTCTTAGCCTTCCCACATCTCGGAGCATCTGTCCGCCTCCCTGCTCTCAGTTGCAGAATGGCGGGAGTGCAGGGAAACTGAGCTAATCCAGCGCCTGGCTCATCGGAGAGGCCGATACACTG